TTATTCGATAATTGAAGGATCAATTGGTGGAGGCTAGTTCCATAAGTAATATAATTGCTCAGGCTACCAAGTAGTTTCTTTATTCTCTGCTCTTACGCAGAGTTGAAACATCGGAAACGTTTTTTTTAATATTTCCTCGTTTTCTGAGAATTCTCTTGTAAACCACTCCTTTTTTTTTCATGTCATGTGTTTATTTGTTTGATAAAAAGAAATAAGTATTAATCGTTTGTGGGTTTTTTTTTTTTTTGTTAAAGAAGTTTGTGGGTTTTTACGTAATGATTGTTAATGATGAACCGAGTCTTGGATATTTCTTCTGTAAAGACAACATACATTCTTTGTTGTGATCAATCATGATATATATGAAAGAGTATCACAAATATTGAAAGCTGAAAGAAATTTCTCTCAATCTCTCATTCTAGAACAGAAGAGAATCCGAGAAGACAAAGAACGAAAAAGAGTTTCTCATGTTCACCTACCTAGCGGTATAACCTCTATTTAGTTTAGAGTCTTGTTAGACACAGTCATTCTCTTATTTCTTAAAAACATGACCGTTGTTTCACTTGAGATAAACCTGAGTTGAATAAAATATTAACAACAGTACCTGATTTTCCTTTTTTTCTCAATTTCTATTTTCCTCAATTTCCTTTTTCTAACTATTGAAAGGATGTTTCAGGAGAAAATTTACACTATATATATATATATATAGTACTAGATTTTACCTGATGATCTTAAGGAAGGTGATATAGTTTAATACTAAAACTAGATTTTATCACGTGCATCCGCATGGGAATTTTGTTTTAATCAAAATTTGTAATCTAATTTATGTTTTCTTTATAAATATAATTTTTAATAAGTGATATCAAAAAAATTGTGTTTAGATATAATCTTTTTTAATTTTTTCAGTATTATTATGACCACCATGATCATAAAATCATAATTTTAATCCGGTTATTTTATTAATAAAAAAGTGACTGTTATTATTAAAATATATTTCTAATTCGCTTATTTTATTAATCCAAAAAATGCTATGATTATGAAACCATAATTCTAACCCGCCCGTTTATATTACTTTATAATATAAATATTTACTAATTTTGAAATAATTTTCTCCAAATATCTTGCATGTTTTGATAACCTAACCCGCATAAGACCATATTTATAAAAAAAACTTAACTTGTCCCATCAAATTATTATATAATATTAATATTCATCTATTTTTAATATGCAAAATTTTAATCTGATAGAATATGATTAAAAAAAATATAATAAGATATGTGTTAATCATATGTGTTATTCTGAAAATCTTATTTAAAATTTAAATGTTAAATTAAATCTACCTTATATTTAAGGAAGTCTATTTAAATTAATATCTATAGACTATAGATATAACCTATATTTAAGGAAATTTTTAGTTATCTAAATTAATATTTGGAACTAAATTTATATATATATAAAAATATTTTTAAAAAAAAAAATTGGGAGTAAATACTAAAAATGCTTCTGTTTTAATATAATAGATGTATTTTCCAATTGGAGAAGTAAACAATCTTGTTCACTTTCTTTCTGTATATTGTCTAGTTGATCTTTGGTTTAAAAAGATCATGATAATCTTTTTGTTTTGATGTTTTTTTAGTCTTTAGTTTTTTTGGTAGAGACATACAGGGCAAATAATGACTTTATTACAAGGAATTAATGCTATCAACCATGTAAGTTAGGAGTTACCGATTCCTCAAAAGTCAATCTCTTTAAACCCTTTTTTGGTTAAAAATCAAAATTTCTTAATACAGTATTTGGTACCGTATAATATAAAACCTAGAACCTCTATAAATTATACTCAATATAATCACTATAAGTTAATAAATTTTTCTGATCCCGAGTCGGACCAGTGTAAAAATCCATCAAATTTGATAAAATAATAAGATAATAATTTTTTTTGAAATCCCTATGTATATATATGGTCCCAACATAAATATAAATTAATAATTATATAAATTTATGTATATATATAAGTAAGATATAAAAATACTAAAATATAACTGATGTGTTGTTTGTTTTATTTAAGTTTGAAATTTTTTAGAAAATCATATATTTACTTATTTACATCAATAATTTTTAATATTTTTTTTATTTCCATTCAAAATTTGTGAAAAAAATTAGATGTTATAATTAATTTTCTTGCGCGTAACTGTTTTGAAATATATTATGATATTGTCTTCAATTTCAGCACCAATATTAAGGATAGTAGCTATAAGTTTTTTTTAAATAAATTTTTAACTAATAAACATTTATATTCTTATATAGATGATTCAGTCCACAATTAACAAATATAAACAATTATTCTATTACGATTGCTATGATTAGTAATTTTAGTTTTAAGTTTGTGTATGTTATTCTTTAAGCATATAAGTTTGGATTCTTAAATATGATATCATTTGAAAGAAAATTTAAGAAGAAGATGGAAAAAATCATTTTTTCTTTATAAATTATTAATTAAATTAATAATTAAATTTAAATAGATAAATTAAATCACGATAAATTAATAAAATATTGTAATCTTGATATTATTAATTTATAGAGATTTTACTGTATATTATATATAATAACAAAAAAATCATATTAATAAAAAAAAAAAGGTGAAAAAAAAATAAAAACTAATTCAATCGAGGCAATACACTACAAGTACGCATAAGCTAGTAGAGGTGGGCCCGGAGTGGATATCCTGGATTTTTGTGATATTTGTGATCTGCTCCGCTCCGCTCCGTTCGGATCATCATTTTTCGATCCGTATCCACTTCGTAATTAGCTGGATATTTATTTTTCGGATATCCGCCAAAATCCAAATATTTATTGGATATCTGATCTGCTCCATAAAAATATTTAAATAATAATGTATTTAAAATAAAAATACAAAAAAATTAAATTTAGCCAAAAATAGCAATATTTTCTTAAAAAGTATTTTTTTCTTAACTTATAAAGCTTTAATATTTATAATAATCAAATTTATAAACAAAAATTCACAAACTTATATGTACATATAATAAGTATACATTTTATATGAATTATTTTATCTATATATAGAGATATACTTATACTGGAGTGGAGCGGATATCCGTCTTTTTTTCGTATTTGTGATTTGCTCTGTTTTTAACGGATATTGAATTTTAGTATTTGCTTTGCTCCATAACTATGGATATCTAAATTTTTCGGATCGAATCGAGGCGAATAATGGATAGAAGCAAATCTAATGGATATATTTTGACCAGCCCTATAAGCTAGCAGCTATAGTCCCGTACAGAATACTACGTACAGAGTACTACGTACAGAGTATGAATGAAAACGGATAAAAACCACAAAGAAAAGGAAAACCAAAACAGCGAGCAAAGACAGGAGAAATAGAAAAAAATAGGATGATGAGAATAACAAAGTGCAATTCTGGCTTGTTCGTGAAGAGGATGACCCATGAAATCGCACCCAAGATGGCTGTATAGCAGTAGAAACCTAAGATCTCGATCATATGAGTTTTATTTGCAGCAATGTGGATTTTGTGAAGTCTCACATACAGGAATGTTGCAACAATAAAGGCTATCAGAAGGATGTGCATCACAATGTCGTAGATTACATATTTGCTCTTCCTGCATCCAACAGACGTTAATTACACAATACACACGCATAATCATTGTAAAAGTAATTATCTGATAATCTTAAAAGCTTTTTGATAGACGGCGACTCACCACCATGGCTGATGCCTTCTTTGAGATTCATCGGCAGTAGCAGGATTCATGCCTTCTTTTATTGGTATTTTGTATTAGTAATACTAGGATACTGGCCCGCACGCTTGTGCAGGCATGATTGATGTTACCAAAAATTTAATATTTTTGACATCTATATGGGTTAGTCATTAGTGTAAAATATGTTGACCATATACTAATGACCGGTTGGTCTACATATATGTGCATGTATAAAATTTTTATTAAAAAAAAGTTATTTGGAATGATTATATGTTAATTTTCTCATGCTACAACCCGCAAACATTATATTTTCAGATAGTTACCATTTTTAGCAAATACAATAATCATGTAAACTGTTTTGTGTCATCTTGTACTATTTTTATCTTTTTCAAATCGATTCAGATATTTTAAATGGCATAAGCATGTAAAATCTATGTGATTCAATTTATTATTCTTTTTTTCAAAAGATTAGAAATATATAATATAGTATATTTTAGTAATTTATTATAACTTCAAATTAATGAATTTCGATTCAAACTTACACATAATCAAATTACTAACATACTCATTTAATATATAAGATTTTGTCCTAACAGCGTCTAAGTGGTTCGCCCGCACATATGTGCAGACAAACCACTTATCGGCTCTTAGAATCAGTTAATTATATTATTTCTCTTAGTTTCTTATATAACATTTATGATAATTTTTAAATCATTTAATATTTTCAATATTCTTAAAATACATGCTATTTTGATTTTTATACAGGATTTAGTTATTAGTAAAGTATAATATTTAATCAACAGAAAAATGAATTATTTTGCCTTAGAATGAGAAGATTTTATGACAATCTAAATATCCTTCTTAATAATGATTGAGGTTCAGTTACAAAAAATCTTTACTACATCTAATTTTTAATGGTTAAATTATGACGATATTGTAGGGATATGGTGTAACTACAAATCATAAATCTAATATTTAAAAATAAATATTAAAAGGTTATTTAACGAATGAAATTTATATATGAGTTCTTTATCAAATTTGATTATGCTTAAGGTTGACAGATTATAGATTCTTATTTGGTTAGTATTATAATTTCAAACTTTTAAAGTAAAAATTCAACTGAATTTAAAAGTTTACGCTAAAACTAAAGAATGGGAGAAATGTTTTATTTCATAAATAGAATTTAGAAGATACAAATAAAAACATTAGGAAAATGATGCAAATACCAAAGATATAATCAAAGAGTAAAGAAAAAAAATGAAGCAATTTCTAGCTCAATCTTCTAAGACTTCTTTGCCTTAATTAATCTTCTCAACAGTCATCTCATATCTGATAAATAAACAAAACAAAAAAAAAACGTTACACAATAATGACATTTATTAGTCAGGGATGAGATTACACAATAATGATGAAGATTAAGAGTCTAATTAAAAACTTTAGGGATAAAGAAAATGACCAGCCAGGATAGGAACAGAGGTCCAGTAAGCATGGTCCATTCTGGTGGAAATGGTTTCTTGAGTGATTTGTTTTCTCTAAAATCGATCTCGAATATCAACCCAGCACAAAATGACAAAATATTCAATAAAAACTACACATGAAAAGGTAGTGAGTTATATCCAATAAAAAATTATAACTCTCTAATAATAGAACTACGTTTGGAGAAAGCTTTATACCATCTTGAAATCTTGGGGAAACTTTGGCGACATGCTTTGGCAACATGCAAAATATGAGTGCATATAAGAATTGAGAAAGGAGTAACATTAAGCGCACAGAATGTAAAGCAAAATCTATGAAAAATGTTCCTGAAGACCAGAATAGCTCTTTTCAATGTCATCCAAAACCAATGTATCTTAACATCATTGAAAAACGTTTTCGATATTTCTTAGTGACTGATGGCTCCTTCAGTAAACCTATGATTTCTACAAAGATGAGACATTAACACATATATAAATATGGGGATTAAGTAAGAAATCTTGAAAGCTCGTACCTGATATTTCTAATATGAAATGTTTTGTTTTTCTGGATTAGGAGACATTAACAAATTCACAGAAACTTGAAACTGTATAAAAACAAAACAAATCAAACATAAGTAGTTTGTTAGTGCATTTTTAAGAGTGTAAAATAAATAATATCGAATTTATTATTAAAAAACATTATAAATACTAAAAATAAAAATTGAATGGCGTTCATATGTTTGACATCACACAAATTGACATTATGCAGTGTGTGGAGGATGCCTTCTTTTTATAGTGAAAAGATGAGTACTCAGTACGCTATTAGATGTCAGCTGATTTTATTGTTTTGTATGAAGTTTTCTCAATTTGAAATTTAAAATCTTTTTGTAGCTTGTAGGAGAATCCGAAATTTAATATTTGAGGAGTAAATATTTTCAATCCATTTAAGGCTATTTCATAAATTAAAACAGTTATGAAAGTAAATCAGTCAAATATTTTAATAGAACTGGAAGACAGAATATTATTAACGATTAATTAATAAATTGTTACCATAGCTATCACCAAAAAATCAGGAACAAATATTTTGGGAGCATAAAAGATTTTAATAATTTTGACTAACCAAAAAATCAGGAACAAACCTTCCAATTTTGATTAACTTAATTAATGCCATAGAGTTTTCAAAATTTTTAATTAAGTAAACTTATTAAGATTTTAAAATTTTTAATTAAGTAAACATTATAAGATAAATATAAAATCTATTAGATTACTATTCACGTAAATTTAAATTTAAAGCAATATTTTATTTTTAAAAGAGATTATATAATCATATTGAGTTTATTGCCAATGTCTATACACAATTAGTGTAATATAATAGTTTTATGTTTTATAATGTTACATTAATAAAACATATGAATTATATAATCTTTTTTTTTAAGTGTTGCTTTAAATTTAAATTTACGTGAATACTAATATAATAGATTTACATTTTAAATATAATATTAAATTAAATAGAGTTATTTCCTTTTAAAATAATTTGAATTTAATATTTATATATTATTTATTGATTATTCCGAATTTGATAGTGAATTTAAATTTTTGAATATTTTCTAAAACAAAAATAAAAGAATCCGAATTGGGTCGGGTATAAAAGATTTGCGTGTTTTTAAGTGGGTCAGGTTAAAAGTTTCGCATGTTTATCCATTTTTTTTAATTAATAAATATTAATATAATTAATTTTTTCTCATTAAACTGAAATCAATCAGAATTCTGCACATCATCGTCTTTGCCATATCACATTTGACGTGGAATAATCGTCATCATTAGCATATGCAAGGGAGCTTTTCTAAGCCAATCAAATTAAAACAAATCAGATTTTTTCATCAAACTACATTCTCATTTAATATATAGAATTGTGAATTCATTATATTTTTTGTATGATAAAAAGGTATATATATATATATATATACAAGTTTCGAGTCTCTCACGATGTATCTTATCGATGTGGAACTCAGCTATAGTGGATAATAATGAGTAAATACTTTATAAAAAAGAATTATTTAACTATACAAAGTTTTTTAACCAATTTTTTTTTAATTTGTACTTTGTGCGTCCGCACAAAAAAAAATTATTTTTTAATTTAATTTTAAAATAAAATTTATTTTTTTATTAATATAATATTTTCTAATAAATGATACAAATTTATTTTTATGTTTAGATAAAATTTATTTTTTTAATAATTTAACTACACTTATAATAGTATAATTTTAATTCGTCCATTCGATTAATTTGAAAAAGACCATAAATATAAAAACATAATTTTATCCTGTCTATTCATATTACCATATAATATAAATAATTTTTATTTTTAATATTTAAATTTTAAACTGATTGATTATAAAAAAGTATAATAAAATATCGTTTATCATTTTATCATTATGAGAATACTGTTTAAATTTAAATATAACATAAATTAATATCCTATTTACTATTTTTATAAAGATAATAACAACTGATTTTTATAATTTTGATAAATGATATAATAATCTAAACTGAATCAAAATTTGAATTTTTTCTGAATTATTTTAAAAAATAAATTTTAAATATATTATCTTATTATTTTTTGGAAATAAATAAAACAGAGAAATCAAAATAAAATATTTGTTTGGTAACATAAATAAAAGTTATCCAAAAACAAAATAGTAGAAAACTAAGTAAAACCTGTTTGGACACAAAACATGTTTTTTTTTTAATAATATAGATTTTGGCTAACTAAATTATAAATTCGTAAATGACATGGTGTTCTTGTTTTTTTTTTTCTTTTCCTTTCCACCAGATAAGATCAGTGTAAGTTTTTTTTTTTTAAATCCCCATCTGTTTGTTAATACGCGTCTCGCGTTCTTGAACATAGATAAAATCTTGGCCATGCTTCTGATAATGTTGATTATGCAGTATTGTATGTCTGTATGATCCAAAGTCACTTATAACTTATAAGACGGGGACTCTAATAGCATTTCCTTCTATTAACATCCCCGATTTAACCTCAAATGACATAAGACAGAAGAAAACAATGGAAAAATAAACGTAGTATGGTTTATATATAAATGAAGCTATGATGTAAACAAAGTAACAATGTTCTTTGATTCATCTGCGGTTGATAGATTTCACTTGGCATTCTTCTTGATAGTCACCTTGGCTCCGGTTCTCTTGATGACACAGACTGAAACAGTTTGCTTCATGCCCCTCAATGCACAACGTCCAAGCTGAAGCAGCGGTTCAGGAAGGGGTAAATTGGCCACGTGTTTTGTTTTTATTGGTTAAAACAGAAAAGAGAGAGAAAGTCAAGTTTAGGGGTATCGTGTTTTTTTTCTGGAAAACTCATTTGCTAGTTCTCTTTTTTTTTTTACGACCAAAGATCTCTCCTTGGGCGATTCAGCTCGTCTTCGCGATTCCGGCGATTTTTCCGAGATCGAAGTGTTGTACGACTCCAGTTCGAAGGTATGTTATCCGAGCCTTGTTTTTTTTTAATTGTAGATAGTTTTTATTTGCGTTCTCGTCGAGTTAGTGTTTATACGAATTGGGTAAATTTGGGGCTTTTAAATTTTTGGTCTAATTAGGGGTCTCAGAGTTCATGCGATGGTCTGTCTGATCGGGAAGTACTCGTTTAGGTTGAAATTGCATGGATTAGTTTAGGGTTTTGTCGATTTAGGGTTTGCTGATTTGGGGAAAATTGGGGTTTTTATGTTTTCTGGTAAATTAGGGCTATCGGTGTACTTGGAGGGTTGTTTTCGATTTTGATTTAACCGTTTTGATAGCGAATATGTGAAACCTCAACTTGAACTAATTTGCGAGTGAATTGGATGATTCATAGTTGATATGGTTTGCGATTGAAATGGATGATTCATGGGCTTAGTAGTTGATATGGGTATAGGGATTCTGACTCTTGGGCATTGCTTCGAGGTTGGTGATAAACTGTTATCAATTATGTGCAGAAAGAATGCCGATCAGCTATTCAGAAACATCTTCTGAAAGGCCAGAGATGGATTTGGGGTGGGCATATTCTGATGCCAACAACGGAATATAGGAGAAGTGTTTCTGCGGGATGCGGTTGAAGCTTGAAGCAATGAGTGCTGATTCCACAGTTTTTCCTGGCCGCTGGTACTACAAGTGTCTGAAGTACTTGAATGAGGTAATTAAGGGTGAACTTTACTTGCTTTATCATGATTAGTTGTCTGTTTATTAGATTGATAACACTTTATTGTTTTGTAGGGGACTTTTGAGCACATATTTCAATGGTGGGATGACGGTGTGACAGAGCAGCTGGAGAGATACAAGATACGGCTTGATGAGGCAATGGGGAAACAGCTACATTTGGAAACACATGTTCGCCTTCTTCAAGGTGAAGTTGCTCGCATGAAGGAGGAGCTTGCAAACCAAGGAGACACAGGGGTTGTGGCTTCCGACCCAGCTGTTGGCAAATTAAAGGAAGAAGTATGAGTCCTTTAAGGTGAGGTTGCACAGCTGAAGCATGACTTTGCTAACCGAGGTGACGGTTTCTTCCTTTGTTTTTTTTACACATCGACATTTGTTTTTTTTACACATCGACATTTATATATTATACTATGCATTAGTTTATGTATTCTCACACATATGGTTTTTTTTTAATGAGGTTTTACGGGGAACAACAAACAGGCGTGTTGGTTCAGTCTTATGGGTGATCAGTCTTATCAGCATTGAATCAAGGTTAGTAATCATCGATGCTTTATGGTTCGTATTAAAGTACTAGGTTAGAATAACCAGTAAAGTACTAGGTTGTCATCAATGTTTGGTTAGTCTGATTTTTTGTTAGGTGAAGAGTAATTGTTGGTTTATTTTGTGATGAATGCTATTTGTATGTTGAAGAGTAATTGCAAGAATGGGTGTGTATTTATTGCTCGTTTTCTTACTAACTTAAACCCTAACTTATGTACTAACTCTTTATAAACCAATCTTATTCATCTTCTGTTCTTCATCCGTTCCTTTCTTCTTTTTATCAATCTTACGTACTAACTTACCTAGCTCTTCCTTTCTTCAATCGATTCCCTCTACCCTTTTCAACCATTCCGTACTTACCAAATGGATTCTTCGAATGCTTTTGGTAACTCTCAGGGTTTTGTTAATCTTTTAACAAGCCAAGCAGAAAACCCTTTCTATTTTTCTCAAACCATAGATCTAACTTCATCAGACTTGCCTCCATTTAGTAGTCAGGAAGCTAATGATGACCCGCGGGTGGCTTCCAAGGATCGCAAGGAGAGGCGGATATGGTCACCAGTGGAGGACATTGTTTTGATCAGTTGTTGGTTAAATACCAGCAAGGATCCGGTGGTGGGAAATGAACAAAAAGCTCAAGCTTTTTGGAAGCGTATTCAGCTCTTGTTTAATGGCAATAAGAAGTTAGCCGACTTACCAGACCGAGAGGCACCTCATTGCAAGTAGAGGTGGGGTAGAATCAACGACCAAGTCAGCAAGTTCGTAGGTTGTTATGAAACGGCTGTGAAAGGGCAGAGAAGTGGGCAAAACGACGATGACTTGGTGAAAGCTGCTCATCAAATATTTTTCAGTGACCACCAGTTTAAGTTTGGCCTCGAGCATTGTTGGAGAGAATTACGGCACGACCAGAAGTGGTGCACCTCCACAGCGGACAAAGACTCTGCAAAAAAGAAACGAAGAAAGGGGGACGAGACTTCGGCTCACGGTAGTCAACCTGAAATACTTGTAGATAGCTCTCCTGAAGCTCGGCCGCCTGGAGTAAAAGCAGCAAAAGCTGCTGCTAAAAAGAAGGTGAACGGAGATGCTAAAGACGAAGGGAAAAAATGGATGACTTCAAGGACTTGTGGGAAATAAAACTGAGAGACTTGGAATTGAAGAAGGTGCTGTCTAGACAGAGAATGCTAGAGAGTCTTCTTAGTAGAACCGAGCCACTTTCTGAGAAAGAAGTTGATTTTAGGGACAAACTTATTGATGAATTTATGTGATAATATAAGTTAAGGGCTTGTACGTGTTGTTATGCTGACTTTGTCATAATCATTTTAGTGTTCTTAACGTGTCATATGTGTTGTATGAATACGGTGCTATTTAATGTTTAATGCAAAGTTCTGTGACTTATGTGACTTTTTCTGATCGTAATGTGTACAGGTTGGTGATCGTATACGGTACTCATTGGAGGGCCAAATAGTAGAAACCCGTGAACGGATACAACACTGAGTGGAGGGACCATATTTTTTTGTTGTCTTCTGTCCTTGACCACGAAATGGTTGATATTTTTATGTTGTATACTGTTAGTGATATTTTTAAAAAGTTAAATTATTGGACCGAGAATCTTGTTTGGAAGCCACACAATCTTTTGTAGATATTTTTGCTACTTCTCTATATAAAGATCGATCACACTCATTACCATATCACACAAACAACTTAGCCTTCTTTCTCTCAAAACGACCACTTCTTTCTCTCAGCCTAAAAAAAATTACTTTCTCACAAAACAAACACTTGTCAAAAAAAATTACTTTCTCTCAATTACTTTCTCTTCAACATGGCATCTTCTTCAAACACCCCCATTGATGTCGATATTGATGACTACTTTGATGAAACTTTTGATAATATCTTGGAAGAAAAATTTGAAGATGCATTCAACGAATTACTACATCAGCATACCGCTCCAATGCCAAAAAAGAAGAAAAAAAGAGCATATATTGAAAGAGCACGTGAAGAAGGCCATCAACGGTTATGGAACGACTATTTTAGTGACGATGCAACATATCCTCCTCATCTATTTCGCCGCCGTTTTAGGATGAGAAAGACGTTGTTCCTGCGTATTGTTGATCGACTCTCAACGGAACTAGCTTTTTTCAACAAAGGAGAGATGCTGTTGGAAGGGTTAGCCTCTCTGCATTACAGAAATGTACAGCGGCAATACGTATGATGGCGTATGGCACTGCGGCAGATGCGGTTGACGAGTACCTTCGGCTAGGTGAGAGTACAGCTATTTCTTGCTTAGAAAATTTCACTGAAGGAATTATCTCTTGTTTCGGAGATGAATACCTAAGAAGACCCACCCAAGATGATCTAATACGCCTACTTGATGTCGGAGAGTCACGTGGATTCCCGGGAATGATTGGAAGCATCGACTGTATGCATTGGGAGTGGAAAAATTGTCCAACCGCTTGGAAAGGACAATATACACGTGGTTCAGGAAAACCGACAATCGTCTTAGAGGCGGTGGCATCACATGATCTATGGATATGGCACGCATTTTTTGGACCTCCAGGTATGTTAAACGACATTAATGTTCTTAAACGCTCTCCGGTTTTTGATGACATTTTACAAGGTCGAGCTCCAAGAGTTAAGTACTATGTCAACAGAAACGAATACCGTTTGGCATACTACCTCACTGACAGTATCTATCCAAAATGGGCAACTTTCATAAAATCGATTCCCCTACCGCAAGATCCAAAGACCCGATTGTTTGCTTCATGTCAAGAATCCTACCGCAAAGATGTCGAACGTGCTTTTGGAGTATTGCAGTCTCGTTTCGCAATTATAAAAAACCCAGCTCTTATTTGGGATAAGAGAAAAATTGGGAATATTATGCGGGCAAGCATCATTCTGCATAATATGATCGTGGAAGACGAACGCGATGGATATAATCTGGTTGATACAACACAATACAAACAAGGCGACGTTAACAGAAGTTCTCAGGTGGATATGTCGTATTCTACATATATGCCTACAAATATTCAAAATATGATAGGCAATCGCGAAGAAGTTCGACATTCAGAAACACATGATAAATTGCAAAAGGATTTACTTGAACATGTTTGGCAGAAATTTGGACATTTGGTTTAATGTTTTTTTCTTTTGTTTTAATTATATGTAATGAATGAGTTTGCTTAATCTTTTTATCATGTAATTTTATTTATATGTAATGAATAATTTATTTCAAATTATAATAAATTAAATGTTTAAAATTGATTTTCGGGAAAAACAAATTTTAAAAAAAAAATTATTAAAATAATCCAAAGAACTCCTTGAATGGGTTCAGGGTTGGACACCAATTTTTCATAGAGTTCATCCAAAAAAAATTTCTCAAAAAACCTAATAAAAAAATCTGATGAACCCTTCAATAGGGTTCAAGGTTGGAGATGGTCTAAGATAGCTATCTGGACTTTCACGAGTCGCCCATGCGTTGCACTACTGCACGGGGCCTGGCTCAACCCGCCATTCCAATAGTTAACTTTTTCATCTTTTAACTAATTTAATGTGGTAGGAAAAGATTGGTTAATTAATGATGTCGACAAATTTTAAAATATAATAATGCAGAAGAAGAGAAAATCAAAATATAAGTAGGATACGATGAATAAGGGAAGTTATTGATAGGAAACCTAGCCATTCTCTTTAACAATCTTGTGCTGACCAAAGATTATCTGTGTGAAAACTTCCCATATAAACTTCAAACCCACCCTCTAGATCTCTAGTGTCTAACACAAGACTGAATATTCAAAATTAGTTGATGAGTTTTATCGCAATTGATGGAGTTAATAAACACCAAAGCTGAAAGGGAGATATGTAGACAAGAATCTACTCAAGGACCAAACTCCGAGCAGAATCGAAGCTGTAACAACAAATAAGCAACCAAATACAAAACTAAAGTAAACAAACTAACACAATGTTCTTTGATTTATCTGCGGTTGATGATAGAGTTCACTTGGCACTGATCACCTTCCTTGGCTCCGGTGATCCTACTTGTCAACACTCTTGATGACACCGACTGCAACAGTCTGCCTCATGTCCCTCACTGTAAAACGTCCACATGGGCTTATCGTGACCAATACCACATCACCATTCAAGAACTTGGGCTCCTTACTCCAGCTCCTTACCAGAACGCCTGCCAATCTTGGTCAAGATCTCAGAGACACTTTACACGGCAATGTGACAAGTGTGGAAGTCGAGCAATCTGACCAAGATGGTTTATGATGATGACCTGGGAGGTGAAGTTGTCTGATCCCTTGGCACCAAGCACCAATGGTGAACGCAAGCAAAGTTTAAGTATTCAGAAAAACACCAGAGGACCTGAGATCGAGACCAGAGGATCTATCACCATGTGGCTCGCCTTTCCGTCTGCGTAAAGCTGAGGTAACGTGTTGGCTTCTTTGGCTGTGACGCCTTCCGCAGTCCACAACGCAATATGTGGCCATTCGTTCTTGGCGACTATGGTCTCTCCGTCCACAGATCCGACATGGGCTGTTAGAGCAGCCATCTTGTCGTTGAAGATGAGCTCAGTGAGCTCTACGAGTACCTCTCTGTTCAAGTGCTGACCATAGCACTTGTGGGCAAGGGTCACGTGAGCCCGTTCAAGTTTTTCTTCTATGCTCTTCTTCTCTTGTAGAAAAGATCTCACTCTTGGGTTTTCTGCGACCAACTGATACAAAAGAACATGAAGTCTAAATCATCTCCAGTACGAAAGAACATGAAGGCTTCTTTTAATGGTAGTTTATGAATGTTGTAAGTTACCTTTTACAAGAAGACTGTGGACTTGCGTAATAGGCAAATTGATGGCAGCGACAACATAGACTTATGTTTTGTTTTCTCTGAGCTTGGTGGTTTGTATTCACCCTTTGTGATTCTTTTTAGCTCTCTCGCACTTGCTGAACCGCAAACTCAAACGGAACCTGCAAGTTGAAAACCAGAGAAAAAAGACATCATATGCACATCCCGCCTCTTTTATCATGTATTGAAAGAGAATCGAAGCAGTTATAATCCCAATCGTGGGACTGTAGCTTTTTCATGAGCCATCAATGAAAAAGGATATTTTACCTGAACAGAACTGAGATGCTCAGAATTTGCAACTAAAGTACTGCGCAGCTGTTTCTCCCATTTAGTCCGTTCCGCTGCATATGTTCCTTTTCACCACTCAAGTCTACGGAAAGAAAAATTTGAACAGACAAAAAGAGGTCAGAAGCAAACAAGCCAAAGCTAAAGCTGAAGAGATGAAGTAAAAAAAGAACTGTCAGAACAAGACACTAAAACGTCTGTTAGCACACTCAAGTTGTAGGTTAGTTTCTGATATCTTCCTTGTAAGTTTTTGCTATATAATTACTTTTGTCTCATTGTCTTTCATTTCTAACTGTCAGTACAGACAATGTTGTTCAACATATATCACAAACAAGTGTTACTGATTTCAGAAAAGATGATTTAGATTCGATTTGGTATAATTTAACATTTCAAGTCAAGTAAATAGTAGTGTTGGCTACTTACCTCCCATGTCTTCTACTGTGGAGCTGGAACAAGTCTAAGCCCTCCTCAAGAACCGATTTAACAGTATCAGGTAAAGGACTCCTGTATATGCACAAAGAGGAGTCACTAAGTGGTTTAGGAAACCAGATGAATATGAAGCTATAATTTGTTAGGTCGCATAAGTGCACCTGTCTGATTTCAACAATGGCATCTTGACGAGGGAGCCAAAGCGCTCAATCAATTCACTCTCAAATTCTTTGCGGTTCTGAAAGTTTAAAAGACAGTTCCAAGGAATGTGAGATCAAATAATAGATTTACATAAAGACAGTTGAGGCGCGTCTGATCATAATACATTTCCCTCATAAAGGTGATAAAACATCAATAGCGACATAGCCTGCATTTGAAGATGCCTTGTCGAGATTCCCCTGACAATACCAACTGCATATGTATGAAAGAAACAATAGCTTGTTGAGAGATACATGGTTGCGGTGAAAGTTGAATGATAAATAAACTTTGTAAAAGATGCAACTGCATACCGGATGGTTAACTCGTTCAAGTACACGGAACATTGTTGAACAATGCCATTTTGGTTTCAAACCAAACTAGAAGAAATTTAGTGAAGATGGAGTTGGTGGAACAGTTGAAAGCATGAAGAAAGATAAAGCTATATCTAGCCTTTTGACTATGTCGAGTATTTTGGGGAAAAAGGTGTAAGCTAGTAAAAGTTGTTGTCTATTATTTTCTTGTATAAGTCTAGTGTCTTGGAGTGTAATCGAACACATCTTTTTGCAAAAATGAAAAACAAGATTGTTCAAGTTCTTTGTTCTCTTTCTTTCTAAACAAGCGATGAATCATAACAAAACAGAGTATTCTGTTTTGAGAAGAAAAACAACAAACATGAATACAGCTAAGGCATCAAGTGAATATGGATTTGAATCGGTTCATGTGAATCCATAAGAGGCAAGAAGGTAATGTAAAACAAAAAAACTGAATAGCAAAGGGTACTTTTCCAAATGATTGTATTAGTAAAAACAAGTAACAGTGCAATGGAATCAAGTATTAATCTTGATAGCCATTAGGAAAAGAAGCAGCTGAAAATACGACTGCAACAATATTTTCAATGATTCTGATAAGCCAAAGCCAATCTTTAAAGTCATATGGTCAGAGACTCTTATATTTTCATTCCTAATCGATGTGAGATTGTAACAGATTCCCAGCGTACAATACATTACCTGTCTCCACAAGTCTTCATTTGGGGCATTTTTGTCAGCCAACAGAATCGATTGTGACTTTTTACGACGTTCATCGGCAACTTTTAGCCAATATTTTACCAGTAAGTAGAATTTTGCATGAGGTGGCACAGCAGAAATAGAGAGACTAGAGCAATTTCGAAAAAAAAAATCCTACATTCTAAATTACCTTTGACAAGATCTCCCATCAAAGTGTGCACTGGCCGATCATCTCCAAAGCCTCCTGGGGTGTTCAGTAACTCCCTACAAAGTGAAGATTTAGCACATCCAGGAATCCCTAACATGCAGAAGACAGAGGAAAAGAGTTTAAAAAGGATATCCTAAAGAAAACGATATATACAGATCTAAAACATACAACCAGACCACATTGAATATATACATACATATATAATGGAATACCTGGAAAGAATACAATTAACCCCTCATCCTTCTGGACAGCTTCCTTCACAGCTGGCTCAGGAGTAGCTGGTGTCACTCGTTTCTTCACAAGATCGCCGTCAACAATGGCCAAGAAGTCCTCAGTCCTCACTAGATTCCCAGCAGACCCTATCAAAACCTGATTCTTTGGGCTCCGTTTCGCGTATTGCTCCAGGAATGGCTCAGCTTCACTCAAGTATATCGACCAAGAGAGCTGTCCATTCTCAAGACATGTTCTATATCTCTTGCGCTCCCACTGCTCACGATACGCGCCACAAGACCCTCTAATATCTCACCCTGAACCTTAACATGGTCCTTTGAGCCTGCTTAGTTCCATCCGATGACTTTCATCAAGTTGGAATCCTTGAGAAACTAATCAGCTATTTCATCAAGAGCACTACAGACTGAAGTTGCTATCCCTTCTTCATAGAGTGCATCAAACGCAGTGAAAAACAGGTCACTGATTTCCTTCATCAAAATTTTAACAACAAGCTGTTTCAAAGCAATTCCTTGGACAGTGTGCATCCAAACATATCATAGCATATGTCTACCGCTAATAGGACCACAAATCACTAAAGCTTGAGACTTCATGGAGTTAGACTAGTAAATGCACCGACTAGATTCTATCAACACATTCTTACTATAGTTAGGTTGAGTAAGCTAACATGAAAATGTCTATTTTCAGTTGTCCAGCCAAGATTGTTCAGAAATATCAAAGCTTCAACTAGAGGAACACTAATTTTTAAAATAAAAAGATTAGATAATAGTATTTCAAATTCTTTCTTCACCAAAATAATAGTTAAGAAAACAAGGCCCCAAGGTAAAATGAGAATTAAAGGCAACGTCACAAAGGAATATAGCAGAAATGACTAGAAAGGGGCTTAAGTTACCTTGTGGAAAAGAGCCAAACTTGATTTGTTGGTAGACGCCACTTGTGGCAAAATGCAATTATTTCGGAAGTTGAATAGAACTTGGGCTTACCATTACCTAACTCGGTAACAGCCGTCACTACCACTGCAAGACGCAAATCAACATTTCTTTTTCAACTAAACAATTCTAGACTTTCATAAACATGTCATATACACTTTTTGAAAGATGTTGACTCTAGAACATCTAAAAGGTAAAGTACTTTACCATAATCATCCAGTGGGCGTTGACCATGATCTCCAAGAACAGCTGTTACCAGTTCCATAGATATGCACATGCGGTTTTTCTGAAAGAAAAATGACTAATTAAGAGCTATCCTTTTCTGGCAAATTTGATTAAGCCTCAAGCATTTGAGAATTTCGATTGTTTAAAGTAAGTTGTGTCCATGGATATACCTCAAGAAAATCATTGAAATCTCCTTCCTTCTTTAAAGCCTTAGTTCCCCAAGCCTCCCTGAACATCCGTGAAAGAACAAAAACACCAACCTCAGTATAACTGCAAATGAAAACATTGGGTTAGCATATGAGAAGAATCTTTTAGTCGCCATCTCAATGGAAATAAGAAAGGGTACTAAAATCAATTCGCTTTCAAAAGAAATAACACTGAAGCTAGGAATAAATGAGCTTACATATTACCAAAACTGTTCTTGATATATATGTTGTTGATACGTCAAGCGTTGCCAATCCTTTAGATACCATATCGATCATTCTTGCTCGTAGCTGCCAAAAATTCAAGACAGATGCAACAATGAGAGATATGAAGTAGGCAAAGTAACAATTAGTGTGGTACAAGAGACGAGCAGGGCGCAGATAAAATTTACATCTTTGTCAGTCTTTTCATTCTCAAATTTTGGATAGAAATTTGCTCTGATCTGGGCATGACAAGAAGTATAATTTTCTATAGTTCTCGAGGGAAAGTATCTGACTTTAACGACGATTCAGAAGAACTACTGCAGTCTTCACCTCCTTTCTCCATTATCTTGCGCTGCCAAAAGAGATTGAGATTGAGACTGAAAACGAACGATGAAGTGTCTTAGCCGAGAATTGAGGATGGTTTTTCAAAATATAGAACGAGGAAGCGAAGAACACAGTTACAGAGACTACGAGATCGTAAAACTCACCAGAATCGCAACTCAGTTCTGTTTTTTCGAACTCACTAGCTGTTGCAACTTAGTCCTTGTCTTATCTTAGTGATTCGTAAAAGTCCCTAAATGTATAAATTTAGTTTGCAAAGTCCCTTTAAGAAAAAGAAAAGAAACGAATATCCGTTTCCTTGTTTGTGTTTTACCTTTGCCACAAACATTTGGATTTGCCTTTGGTCTTTTGTTTTTTCATCTCTTCTTCTTCTGTCTCTCTGCTTCTTAACTCGCTCGGACAGGTATCGCTTCTTCTTCTCTTTACTTTAGATTTGTTGGATCATGTTTCAATTCCGATCTAGAGATCTTCTCTCTTCGGTTTTCTGATTGAATCTCTGTAAATTTTCATTTTTTTTTTTAGGGTTTTACGTTATATCCGATGGCTTCAAGTTCAGAGAAAACTCTTCCTACTTCAGGTATTTGTGTTTATCTCAATTTGAGTCAGATTCGAGTGTTGTTTACCTCGATTCTAAGGCGTTTTTAACCAGCTTTAGTGGTTGTTTCTTAGAGTTACAGACAAGTGTTTATTTCACGTTTCCGCAGATGAGAAAAACAATCCCAAGGAAGAGACTAAGAAGAGTACTACTAGACCGGAATCGGGCTCAGGAGCTTCTCCTTCACCTTCTCCTTCACCTTCACCGGCTGATCTTAATTTCGATTTCTCAAGCATGGCCAGTATTCTCAACGTAAGTCTTTCTCTTGTTGGGTATGTTTGATTGTGTAGTTGAGTCTCTCTTGAATAACATAAGTCAATGTTTTGTCTTAAATTTTTTTCCTTTTTGTTGACTGGTTTGGTTTAGGATCCAAGCATCAAGGAATTGGCTGAGCAAATAGCCAAAGATCCTGCATTTAACCAGTTAGCTGAGCAGCTTCAGAGATCTGTTCCAAGTGCATCTCAGGAAGGTGGTCTCCCTAACTTTGACCCAGACCAGTACATGAACACAATGAATCAGGTTATGGGGAACCCTGAATTTAGAACAATGGCGGAGCGTCTTGGTAACGCCTTGGTACAGGTTAGTGAATAACGAGCTTCTTGTTAAGTCTGTTACTGTTCTTGATGGAGACCAAAAGGCCTGGTCTTGACTGACATTGAATCTCTCTGATTGATGTTTCAAGGATCCACAAATGTCTCCGTTTCTGGAGGCTTTTGGGAACCCTGCAGCAACAGAGCAATTCGCTGAGCGTATGGCACAAATGAAAGAAGATCCAGTTTTGAAACCTATATTAGCTGAGATAGACGCTTCTGGTGACCCTTCTGCTATGATGAAGTATGTGTTTTAAATCTTTTTTCCCCCTATCATTCTTTAGAAAGTTTATTTTTTTTGTGGTTGATAAATTTTGTTTTCCTGTGTTAGGTACTGGAATGATAAAGATGTGCTGAAAAAGCTAGGTGAAGCAATGGGTTTAGCTGTTGGAGCAGACCAGGATGTTGCAGCTGAACCTGAGGAGGCGGAGGCAGAAGAAGGGGAAGAGGAAGAGTCTATTGTTCACCAGACTGCTAGTCTTGGTGATGTGGAGGTAACGATTGTTTTACGCTCTTAATCTCTCATGTTCTTGAATCTTGATGGTGTGTGGATTTTTAAACTCACTGTTGCATTGATTTACTGAACCAACCAGGGTCTGAAAACTGCGTTGGCATCTGGTGGTAACAAGGATGAAGAAGACTCCGAGGGAAGGACAGCGTTGCATTTTGCATGTGGATATGGCGAGGTATGTCAATGTCTTTAAACGAACCGTAGCAACAAGAACCTTTGTAACTGTCACACTATCACAGAAATCATGGAAAGCAGATAAACTAAGAATCTTTACTAATATGCACTTGATGGATAAGCAGCTTGGTTTCACTTATTAGATTATTTACTACACACAATGAAGAAGGAAGCTGACAATTACCGTTAATCTATCTGCGCTTTCATGTGGTTCTAAAATCTTAACTGTTCCTGATTTGAATCTTCTTTGCCTAGATGAAATGTGCACAAGTTCTTCTGGATGGTGGAGCAAATGTGAATGCGGTTGACAAAAACAACAACACTCCATTGCATTACGCCGCTGGTTATGGAAGGAAAGAGTGTGTAAGCCTTCTCCTAGAGAATGGTGCTGCAGTGTAAGTTTGCAAAACAATCCCAAATCAAACAATTTTTAAAAAGATGATTCTATACTGAAAGTGTTTTTGTTGTTGTGTTTGCAGCACTCTGCAAAACATGGACAGTAAAACTCCAATTGATGTGGCCAAGCTCAACAACCAGCTCGATGTGGTCAAGCTACTTGAGAAGGACGCTTTCCTCTGAGAGCTTTAAGAACATGTCTCGCTTCTGTGTTCTTTTATCCTTTGTCTGTTGTTTTTTCATTATTAAATAGTAAAAACAAAAATAAAGAAATAGAAAATGGATGTTTTTATTTATGGTTTTCTGATATGTTATTATTTTTCTTCTTAAAATACGTTCTCGTTGTACTTTTTTTTTTTTTTTCAGCACAATCTACCAAAATGATCTGATGAACACTCTTTTTGATAGAAATTGTGAAAATGAAAATATCCCAATTTTGTCTTTTCCCTAATCTAAGACTAGGTAAAGCCCGTGAGCCCAAAACGTAGAAAACCCGGATCCAACTCAATCGGGTGGGTAAAATAAAATAAAAATCAAGACTGGATATGTGATGGCACACGTAGACGAACCTCAAGCAATCACTCGAGCTTGAGGTTATGGCTTCCGTTTAAACCCAAAAATTCCAAATTGCAGAGAAAAACAATTCAAAGCTCCTTACTTTCGCCTTTCCCATCTTCTAATCTGTTTCAAAATCGAATCTTTATCCTCCTGAAGAAGGTGAAGAAGAAGAGGGAGCTTCAATGGCGGCCACATCTTCTAACCCGTTACTACTCACCTCGAATTTCCTCGGTTCCAAGATCATAATTTCAGCTACGAAGCCATCGATTCCATTCTCGCTCTTCTCCCAAAGGAAATTTCAGGTCTCTAGATCAGAAAACCGAAAGCTCACGAAACCGTTGTTGCCATCGCAAGCTGCGTTAGCGACTCTGCTGTTTTCATCGCCGTCGCTAGCAATCGCCGAGCCTTACACAGTGGCTCAGCCTCCTGCACCGACCGATACAATCACCGTTGAAGCTCAGGCGATAACTCCGTCTGCGACTGCGTTTGGCCAGAACGTGCTCCAGACAGCACCTAATCCTCAGGCTCAGTCACCGGACATTCCAGATGGAACACAGTGGCGATACAGCGAGTTCCTAAACTCCGTTAAGAAAGGTAAAGTGGAGAGAGTTAAATTCAGCAAAGACGGCTCCGTTCTCCAGCTCACCGCCGTCGATGGCCGTCGCGCCACCGTCATTGTCCCCAACGATCCGGACCTAATCGATATCCTCGCCATGAACGGAGTCGATATATCGGTTTCCGAAGGAGAATCCGGGAATGGTTTGTTCGATTTCATCGGTAATCTGATTTTCCCTTTGCTTGCCTTTGGAGGGTTGTTTTATCTCTTCCGTGGAGGTCAAGGTGGTCCAGGAGGTCCCGGAGGTCTCGGAGGTCCGATGGATTTCGGAAGGTCGAAATCAAAGTTCCAGGAAGTTCCTGAAACCGGAGTTACATTTGGAGACGTTGCAGGAGCTGATCAGGCTAAGCTTGAGTTGCAAGAAGTTGTTGATTTCTTGAAGAATCCAGACAAGTACACAGCTTTAGGAGCTAAGATACCTAAAGGGTGTTTGTTGGTTGGTCCTCCGGGGACGGGGAAGACGCTGCTGGCTAGAGCGGTGGCCGGAGAAGCAGGAGTGCCATTCTTCTCGTGTGCTGCTTCGGAGTTCGTTGAGCTTTTCGTTGGTGTTGGTGCGTCTAGAGTTAGGGATTTGTTTGAGAAGGCGAAAGCGAAAGCTCCTTGTATTGTTTTTATAGATGAGATTGATGCTGTTGGTAGGCAAAGAGGAGCTGGTATGGGAGGTGGAAATGATGAGAGAGAACAGACGATTAATCAGCTTTTGACGGAGATGGATGGTTTCTCTGGTAACTCTGGTGTCATTGTGTTGGCTGCGACTAATAGGCCGGATGTTCTTGACTCTGCGCTTCTTAGACCGGGAAGATTCGACAGGCAAGTCACTGTGGATAGGCCTGATGTTGCTGGCAGAGTCAAAATCCTTCAGGTTTGTTGTTTGGCTTCTCATCTGCGTGTTGGGAAAGTCATGAGTTAGAGACTTGTGAGTAAGTTTAAATGTTTTGTTTATTGTAGGTGCATTCTAGAGGGAAGGCTATTGGTAAGGATGTGGACTATGAGAAGGTTGCAAGGAGAACTCCAGGCTTCACAGGTGCAGATTTGCAGAACCTGATGAATGAAGCAGCCATTCTTGCGGCTAGGCGTGAGCTTAAGGAGATAAGCAAGGACGAAATATCTGATGCTCTTGAGAGGATCATTGCTGGACCTGAGAAGAAGAACGCTGTTGTCTCTGAGGAGAAAAAAAGACTCGTTGCTTATCATGGTTAGAAAATTACTGATATTAAGCTTCTTCTCATTCTTTTTCTTTCTTGTGTTGACCACTCACTTACTCTTGAATAAAACTGGAATTTTTGCAGAGGCTGGGCATGCTTTAGTTGGTGCGCTTATGCCAGAGTATGATCCAGTGGCCAAGATATCGATTCTTCCCCGTGGACAAGCAGGTGGGCTCACGTTTTTCGCACCTAGTGAAGAGAGACTTGAGTCTGGACTATATAGCAGAAGCTACCTTGAGAATCAAATGGCTGTTGCACTCGGTGGAAGGTTAGTTTTACTACTGACATGAATAGGGTCTAAGTCAAGTGTTTAAACTGATCTTTATGATGTTTTTCTTCCGGCTATTGTAGAGTTGCGGAGGAGGTGATCTTTGGAGACGAGAATGTGACGACTGGAGCATCAAATGATTTCATGCAGGTGTCACGTGTAGCTCGCCAAATGGTTGAGAGATTCGGTTTCAGTAAAAAGATTGGACAAGTTGCAGTTGGTGGAGCAGGAGGAAACCCTTTCATGGGTCAACAGGTATGTAAATAAAACTCAGATTCATAGTTTAGTGTGATGGTTTCTTGCTCAAGATTTGTTTATGTTTTGTTATTTGTGGCAGATGTCATCGCAGAAGGATTACTCGATGGCAACAGCGGATATTGTGGACGCGGAAGTGAGAGAGCTTGTGGAGAAGGCGTACGCGAGGGCTAAGGAGATTGTAACAACTCAAATTGATATCCTACACAAGCTTGCTCAGCTCCTGATTGAGAAAGAAACTGTGGATGGTGAAGAGTTCATGAGTCTTTTCATTGATGGACAAGCTGAGTTGTATGTTTCTTGAATCAAATGATTTTGGCTTGTAAAAAGCCATTAATTAGCTTCAATGTATACAGTACTGGATGTTGTTAATAGACGCTTTGAGAACATGTCTTCTGACTCTTTGAGGGTATATATTATGTCTCTTCTGTGTTCTGTTTTAGTGTTAAAGGCCATTTATCTTTTTAATCCTTGGGTGGTTTTTTCATAATTAAATATGGAAAAAAAGATAAAGAGAAAATCAGAAAATGGATGTTTTATTTATGTTTTATTTTTTTTTGAGGAATTTAATTTACGGTTTTGTAACTCACTCTTTTGATTATTTTTTTTTCATCATAATATTTTACGCATTGGATTATTGTATTACACACAGTCTGAAGATGTTTAAACAGATAAAACTGGCAGATAATAACACATTTCTATAGGCGAAACTAGAATACAAGATTTTTCGGAAAGAAGTCTTAGGACAAGTAATATAGCTACATTACTTTAATTTTGTGTTGTTTCGGTCCATACTCTTATATTTTCATTCGTTCGTAGAGCTATTTACTTGATTGCAAACATGTCTAGAACTTCTTTAATAGAGATATAAAAAAATCTATTTTGAAAGAACGTATTGTCAAACTCTTTCCGTTAATAGTTTACCATTATCTTTTTTGCATTTAGAAAATTTATTTTACGATATAGACACTTATGACCTCCCCTCTATGCCTTAAACACTCTTTTGGTGTAAATAGTAAAAATGAAGATATATGTTAAAAAAAAAAGTCCCAATTTTGTTTTTGGTTTTTAATACAGTATCTCTTAATATTATTTTTATCCAAAAACATTAAAGGGCAAATATTTTCTCCCGACAATATCTGATTCGCGTGCAAAATATCGGGCCGGGATTAGGTTAAGCCCGTAAGCCCAAAACCTAAAGAAGAAGCCCGGTTCAAATTGAAACCCTCGATTACCTTTGCTTTGTTCCAAATTCGATCGGTGGGTAAAATTTTGAGGACGACGACGAAAGAGTGTTTCAGTCACTACAGAAGCTGCGAAAATTCCTCCCTTGTCGTCTCTCTATCTATTTTTCCTCTTCCTGCTTCTTCTTCTCTTCTGAGGTGCGTTTTCCTTTGTTTGTATTCGAAATTCGGAATTTTATTTGTTTTGCTTTTATAAATGAATCCGGATTTCGCGACTATGCTGCTTCTTGTTTGAGGTTTCTAAATTGTATTCTTTTGTTATAAATCTGAAATTGACTGCGTAATTAGAGAATCTTTTGTTTCAATTTCGGTGTTTCAATCTGAAATTTTAGGCTTTTTAGTTGTGTTACTGTGGATGATTTTTTTTCAAGAATTGGTTTCTAAGTTAGAGCGAAAAGGTCTTCTGGGTTGGATTAAAGAATGCTATAACATTGCCGCAAAACTGTTTCTTCTTCCTTCTGAAAAGAAAAGGTTGTTCCTTTGCGTTTGCCTTCATTTCTCTGTTTGCTCTATATTTCCTCTCTGTTGTGTCCTTTGAGTCTGGTGAAAGTTAGTTGATACGCTATATTTTTGTTTATATGAAACACTGATACTTTATACGATTCGTCATCTCGGTTAGAATCTAGAACATTATAAACCAAAACGTAAGTATAAAAACCAAACGTGTCCTGGAGATTTGTGATTTCATCTCCTAACACTCCTAAAGCCCTGAGGATAATTTAGTTCAAAAACGTAAATCAATAATAGCCCAGCATAACTCAATATCAAATTATATAACTTTACATTAATTCAAGTTAGGTAACATTTTTGAGTTATCCATAAGTTAGACCCATAACTCAAACTAAACCAATGATAACTCATGCTACCAATCAAGCCTTATAGTAAAGAATATCTTAAATTATCACAAATTTCTTTACTGAATATCTTTCTTTAAATTAGTTTTACAATTGGTTTCTTTTTCGTTTTTAATGTTCCTACAAATATTCAAATTTCTGTTGTTTTTGTTTAATTTTCTTAGGAATTTGCAGTTTCCATATTCTTATGTGAATTTTATGAAATTATTCTTTAAGGTATTCAGAATATCTTCATGTGTTATACTGTTATAGGTTGAATTAATGATCAAAAGACCTTAAATCTGTTCTCCGTCCCACTTCTTTGTACTTTTCTAGTGTGTACCAGATACTGTTCTGTTTTGGGGTTTATCTAATTTATGAGCTTCAACTCAACTTGTAGTCATTTCATCTGTTTTTCTGCAACTCGTATTTGATAAATTTCTTGTATGCGTGAATTAGTATAGGAATGCTGTGGAGATGGAATCAACTATGGAGAATATAACAGAAATGGAGAGTGAGAGAGTTGAGCAGAGCACCAATAAGGAAGTTGAGACTGAAGAGCAAAATCAAGATAGTGTTTTGGAAACTAATAAGGAAATTGAGACTGAAGAGCAAAGTCAAGATAATGTTTTGGAAACTAATAAGGAAATTGAGACTGAAGAGCGAAGTCAGGATAATGTTTTGGAAACTAATAAGGAAATTGAGGCTGAAGAGCAAAGTCAGGACAATGTTATGGAAACCGAGAATAAGAATCCAGGAGAGACAGTAGGAGAGGAAGATCCCGTCAGGGAACATAAAGATTCTCCTTCTCCCATGGTCATTGAAGAAGGTACTACTCATGCGTCTACCCTTGAGAAGGGGAACGATGATGATTTACCAAAGATTGATGATGAGAAGAATTCCCAATTAGGAACAAGCCCTCATCGAAGTTGTTCTCCTTCAGCGGCTATAGATCCTGAAGAAGATTTTATCAAGCCTACTTTAGAAGACACTGTAGAACATAACATTGGGTCCAGCGAAGTAAGTTCAGATATCTTGAAAAATGACAGAGATTCTGTCATGGTTGACAAAGATACTGCAGTAGTCCATGAAGAAACGACCACAACACCTAATAGCAAACTCTCAGAGGACAAAGGATCACCACATCATCATGCTAATACCGTGATGGAGCAGGACAAAGGTGAAGAAGAACATGACATGACATCCTCAGGAGACAACAACGAGATTACTGTCAATCCTGATACCAAACTCTCGGAGGACAAAGGATCACCGCCTCACCATGCTAATACTGTGATGGAGCAGGAGAAAGTTGCAGAAGAACATGACGTGATATCCTCAGGAGACCATAACGATTTTCCAGTCAGTACTGAAGCCAAAGTTGTTGAGGAGAACAATGACAGGATAGAAGTGAGCGAGGTTAACAATATGATTTTGACTAACCATGGAAGTGGACAGGCGGTTGATCATGATATAGAAACCACAACGGAGGCTGAAAAAGGGCCAGAGGTGGCAGGTTCTGAGGCCGTATCAGAACCGGAGAATAAGCCATCCGAGCCTCTCAAAGAAACCTCAATGAACGTGGACAAAGAGCCAGAGATTCCTGCCACTGAAAATTTGACAGACAAAAACTCTGATGTCTTGACCGCTGGAGATTCAGGAGACAATGACAAAGGGTTATCTCTCTTGCCCGCTACCCAAACTTCTTTGGATCATAATGAAGGACTGGGTACACTTGAGGCTGAAGCCACGGAAGATATGAAAGTTGATGGCCCTGATTCTAAATTGGTCACTGATGCTAGTTTTGACTCTACTAATAACAAGGATGTGAATGTCGAGGCTCCTACTAATACTGAAAAGAAAGATGATTATATCGTACCTGAGAGAAATAATGCTGATAATGAGAATGCATTAGTGAGAAGCGAATCTGCTCCTCCTTGTGTTGCATCTTCCAATTTAAAGTCTGAAGTGGAGGGAAGTGCAGATTTGAATAATGGGGTCCATAAAATAGGTGAGGCACCACCCGGTTTTGATGGGAGGGTAATGAAGCGCTCTTTCCTCTTGGATGATATGTCTGATGGTAATGAATCTGGAACGGAGGAGGATCAATCTGCTTTTATGAAAGAGTTGAGTAACTTTTTTAAAGAGAGAGAGATGGAATTCAAACCTCCAAAATTTTATGGGGAGGGACTAAACTGCCTTAAGTAAGCTTTCTTCCCCTCTTTATTTAGTTTTATTATACGCTGTAAAATTTTCAGTGGAAGCTGATATTGGATTAATTTCTTTGGTGTAAGGTTGTGGAGAGCTGTAACTAGATTGGGCGGTTATGACAAGGTACGTCCCACTGTCAATGCGCCTGATGATTGACGAGCATTTGTCGCTTTTGCATTTCGGCCTTTCTTTTCTCTCCGATTTTTCTCTAGCAGTGGCTTTTGGTGATAGTCGAATATGATTAATTTAAGCTTTATTCTTAATAGGTTACTGGATGCAAACTATGGCGGCAAGTAGGAGAGTCTTTCAGGCCCCCAAAGTAAGAGGACTTTGGTCATTTACTATTGAGTTTAGGAAATTATTTGCATATTCCCAAGAATTTGTTCTAATTGCTCAATTGTTTGTCCAGGACATGTACAACAGTGTCATGGACTTTCCGAGGTTTCTACGAAAAGGTAAGATTATATGTCCACCCTCGTTTTTTCCTTTCTCCATTCTCTGTTGTTTATTTTCCATTATTACAAGATTTATACAGTGGCATGGGACTCTGTGCTTCAATCCTTCTGAAATTTAAAATGATTGAACAGAGAACAACTGTGAATCCTGTAAAGATATATTTTTCTTTAAGATCTTGTAACGTTATCTCGTTTCTTTATTCTTCAGGCTCTTCTTGAATATGAGCGGCAAAAAGTCATGGGGGGTGAACTTCGTATACCCCTTGCTTCTGAACCAGAAGCAATGAATATTGATAATCAGGTAAAATCGTGAAAATTATATCATGCGTCTGTGGTTTTTGTTTGACCACCTTCTTCTCATGATTAATGTTTTTGTATTAACATAAATTGCTTTCCTATAGGCTTCTGGATCAGGTAGAGCGAGGAGAGATGCAGCAGCACGTGCTATGCAAGGTTGGCATTCACAGCGTCTTAATGGTAACGGTGAAGTTAATGACCCTGCAATTAAGGTCCGACAGAATCTTGTTACAGAACATCTGTTTCATTTTGCATTCACTTTGTTGTCATAGTCTGAACTGCTCGCTGTTTTGTAATTTGTAGGATAAGAATATAGTTCTTCATCAAAAGCGCGAGAAACAGATAGGAACCACCCCTGGTATGAGTTCGGTTCGATGAAGAAAGTCTTTGTTCTCATTTGTATTATTGAAACTTTGACTCAGTTTGTTACTTACATCTTGCAACGTCATCAGGTTTGCTCAAACGCAAGAGGCCATCGTCTACTGAACATGGTGCAAAACATGCCATTCAAGTGTCTAAACCAATGTATGGTTTATTAGTGTTCCTGCTCTTACTTTTCGACATGTGATATATCACATTTGAATTCTGAATCCGTTTTTTTTGTTTTTCTTAAGGTTGGATGTGACAGTTGTTGATGTTGGACCACCAGCTGACTGGGTGAAGATTAACGTGCAGAGGACGGTATGTTGCTTTCTTGATAATCTGAGCAATCACTTACCTGGCTTTATAATGTATTAATAAGAATCTGTTCAAAACTGCAGCAAGATTGCTTTGAGGTGTATGCATTAGTCCCAGGACTTGTCCGTGAAGAGGTTAGCTCTCTCACACACTTGGAATAGAATCTTTGATACTTGATCTGAAACACTCGTTTTGTTTACTTATCAATTAATCTTGGCAAATAATATCACAGGTCCGAGTCCAATCAGATCCGGCAGGAAGGTTGGTAATAAGTGGCGAACCCGAGAACCCTATGAACCCCTGGGGAGCTACTCCTTTCAAAAAGGTAATGCTCGGTAGACAAATTTGATTCTTATAATCTTCTGCAAATCCAAAATCTGTTTGCAAGAACAAAACATTTTTGTTACATGATATGATTATATAGAATGTTGAATGACATTTTCTTAACGTTTCTTGAATTGCTGCAGGTGGTAAGTTTGCCGACAAGAATTGATCCGCATCATACATCGGCTGTGGTAACCCTAAACGGGCAGTTATTCGTTCGTGTGCCACTCGAGCAATCTGATTAGAAAACATTTTACAGTTTAACCAAAGCCTTGAAGATCCGAGACAGAGAGAGAGAGAAGAAGAAGAAGAAGAAATGTTAGAAGTAGTTGTTGAGAGTCTTTATTGTATATTATGATTGAGAGCAGCATAACACAACCTGTGAGAGAGCCACTTTAGGATTTACTTTGATTTAGGCCCATCTAGTTTGTGTTCTCTCTTCTCTTTGATTAGATTCTTAAAGTCACTATTGTTTTGTATCACAAGATCTTTAAACCTCTTTGCCATTGAGAAACACCAATCTACAAACCTTTTTATTTATTTATTTATTGTTGACCTGCGTTATGCTTTCTTGCTTGCCACATTTTCTCTATTGATATTGAACATTTTAGTCTCAGAATTCTCTTAATCGAGCTCAAAACAAATTTCCTTTATTAGCAATACAACACAACATCACAACAGCATTAGAAAGTTTCGAAATGTTTTCTTTCTTTCTGCATTAAACCGAAATATATCAACGGTTTTTAAGGAATAACAAAACCGGGCCGGTTTAGTTGTCTTTTGGGCGGAATTTGCAAGCAATCTTGAGCTCACCAGGAGGTTTATCGCCGGCGAATCCAGCGTCAACCCAAGCCGAGTAGCCTCCCTCCATGTTAGCTACATGCTCGTACCCCTGCCGGAGTATAGACATATATACATATGTATAAGTAGTTAAGTACGATGTATTTTTGTATAGATATACTTATAATATGTTCGTATACATATAGACTCACCGCATTGAGAAGATCAACACAAGCACGACTTGCTCTTCCTCCAGAGTTACAAGCCTTAACCAAAAGTTTAATTATGAGAAAATTGTCTATTAGCTAAAATCTAAATCTAATATCTGAAAATTAATTTTTAGTCATAGTTAAGAGAAATTAATTCTAACCACGATGAGATGATCATCTTTCTTGCAGCCGGATGCTACTTGAGAAAGGAAATCAGGATTTACAACCCTACCTACAGACCATTTAACAATATTTTTAACTTTCATCCTCGATAATATATTTTGATATGGAACTATTGCAAATTTTTTAATTTATCACCTTCATCAGTTTTGAACATATAGGGAATGTTCAAGGCATCCTCAAAGTGGCTCTTTGCGAATTCTTCATTTGTCCTACAACCAATTCATAGAGTTAATATAATTATATATACACATATCAAAATGTATATGTAGAGGGATCTAAACGAAATGATGATAATCTTTATATTTACCTAACATCGACATATCGATGACCAACAGTAAGCAAACCTTTTGCTGTATAAACATCAACATTCTCCACATCTTCAACTCTATACAGAAAAAGAAAAAGAAGAAAAGAGTATAGAAATCTTGTACTCGAGATAGCTATTTGACCTATTAATATTTAAGATACAGAAATTTGATTATATTCTCACGTCTTTGTCTTTGGTGTCTCCATGAGAAATGTCCTGTTTGATCTTCTTTTCTGGTTCGTCTTCTGTTATGATAAAGACTGAAGAGAAGATATGTATACAACTTACAATTCTTCAACTTGATCATGTATTTGTTTATTTAATCAAGTTTAAATTGTATAAAAATCAAGAAATGAGTTGACCAACTATTATTTTATCATCCAGTTGATCGTGAAATTCGAAGGAAGAGAACGTAAATGTTATAAAAAAAACCTCCAATCAGTTTTATTAGTTTAGTTTATTCAAATTGTTAATTCTAACATAGTAGTTAACCATATTTTTAATGTTTTTCGTGCTGGCAACTCGTGACAATCCCAAATTTCAAAGCCTATATTAATGTCCAAAAATTTGTGAAAAAACGAAGGCTCCAGCCTCTCTTTGGTGTCTCTTTTGGTTGGACCTTCAGAAGTCAATACGCTGGTAAAAAATGAAAATGTATTATTATGGTTTTGTTTTCAATCCATAGAATGTAACAGTAATGCTATTATTAAGACCAACTATTAAGGCTAGCAAAAAAAAAAAAAAATTCTTTGAAGGTATATGCTTCTATAATGATACCATGTGCGATCTAAATACTAAAGTGAATTGGTTGGCACATAGAAGTATATTGTATTTATATGATATATATAGTTTTTGTTAATTGTGTAACACCAGTTTGTTATAAAACAATTAGGAAAAAATTTGTAGTTTTAGTATATGTAGCTCACGAGAGCAAATTCTATTATTTAGATCAATAACGATAAATAGGTTTGAGCAAAACATTATCTAAGAGCATGTGCAATGGGAGAGATTTTGATGGATCTTTTAACCATTTTTTTATTATTAAGTTGGGTTAGAAACCAATTGAAAAAAATTTCATTTTTAGTAGGTCCAATGGTAGAGACCCAATTAAGTTTTTTTTTTTTAAAAAATGATAATAATGATTTATACATATATACAAGTTATCTCTCACCACCTTTCAAGTTTTAACTACAACCATCGAGCCTTCAAGCTCTGCAAGTATTTGGATCACCAAAAAAGAAAGAGAAAAAAGGAAAAGTATAATCTCTTTGTTCCATTTACCGAGTATTCAAATCAAACTCCCCATCCATGCATCATCATCATCATCATCATCTCATCAGGGTTCATGTTACGTCCTTCTCCATGATTCCCAATCGCATTAGCTCTCAGCAGGTTGCGAGCCATCATCTCGGTATGAGATTGGTGTGACTCTGCCTTCACTTGTCCTGCTTGAGCCAAAGCCGCCATTCTTAACCTCGCCTCCTGAGCCTTCATCTCTCTATCCAACTCTGATTTCACATCAACACATGCTTTTCTCTCGTCTTGGAGCAAAGCTTGCTCAACCATCAACATTTCTTCGGATCTGAGCTCTCCACTCCCTTCTCTTTTGAGTTATTATGTTGAAAGCTTGGGCTTGCTTCTCAAATGTCGCCGTGAATTCTGCCACTTTGGCTGCAATGTTGTTGTCCCATAGCTGATTGTGTGATAGCGTTTGGCTTGTTGTGTCTGAATCGAGGATTCTGTCGTCCTCTTCTGCTTCGTAAACTGCCACGACGTGATAAGGTAACAATCTGCAATAGATTGTAAGAGAACAGAGACACAACAAGCCAGACGCTGCAGAAACAAAGATCAAACTACAGAATCCAACACCTGAATCCTAATTCTCTCAATCAATTCTGATTCGCAATTCCAAACTAGGAAGATCCATTGCCACAAGAATACACCATTTTTTTCTCAATCAACTCTGAATCACATTTCCAAATCATGGAGTTACATTGCCACAAGAGAGAGAGACCATTTTCTTCGATCAAAACTCAATCAACTCGTTATGTCAGGCTATTGATCTTCTTCTAATACACAATTCTAAATCAAAGTCTCAGAGCACGTCAAAGAACCTAAAGGAAACCATTTTCCTAAATTTACAAAGTCCAAAACTTGTACTAAAAACTTTGATTGGGTTCGTATGCATACCTCCAAATGCGATGTAAGCGATTCGATGCTGGCCAAAGAAGTAGACAGCATCGGAAACGATACCGTAGATGGGTTTGGCAACCATTGGAAGATTCGCCGAGTTCTGGAAAATTGGTTTGGCTGGTGATAACCTATAGTCGAACTCGATTTCGCCGGCTCGGTCGGCAGAGTCGCCTCGGTCGGCAGATTCGCCTCGGTCGGCAGAGTCGCCTCGGTCGGCAGAGTTGCCTCGGTCGGAAACAGTCAGAGCAGCCAGATTCGTCGTCTACGGAGAAAAGGAAGAGGAGAGAATGAATTATTGGGAAAAAAAACAGGACCATAAAAATATTTTTTCTTCTATTTTTTGTTGTCCAATAACAATAAGCCACGTGTATTTAAAAGATGTTTCTTGCATCTCCTAAATAAGAGACGTCTCTGGCAAATTATTTTCTTTCTGATTTAATTAAATACAAAAAAAATCTGAAAAATGCTCTAAATACCCCATTGCATATGCTCTAAGAGTTCCCTACCTTAGATTCCATATGACCAAGTGCTACCTCTGCAACTTTTTTTCATCTTCCTTATCAACCCAATCACCTAACCATGCACTATGATCTAGTAACCCAATAATACGATTTCTCGTTATGCATTGCTTTGTCTATTTTTCTTTTAACCACACTTCCAATCTTTTTGCTTCCAAGTTTTTCTAATCTTCTTGAATTTTATTTTTATTGTTAATATTATAAAATATATTTAGAAATTTTTTGATAAAATCTATTTAGAAAATTTTGACTTGATACAATTAAATAAATTAGCAATTTTGAAACATTCAGTTTTATATAATAAAATATTTTATCATTCAAATTTGAGCTGTACAAAAGTAAACAAAGTGAAAATTGGAAAATTCGTCACTTTTAATTAAAGCTGAGAATATGGTGAAAACCTTTTACATAGATCACAATATCACATGGTTTAATAAAGATCATAGGTATTGTGGAGAAAAAATGTCTCATCGTATTATTATTTTCCTAAAAATTATTGACTAATAAATATATAAATAAAAATAAAAAGTAATGGTCCGATTGTGAACGAGGATGGATCTAAGACCATGTTCATTAGTGAACTCTTCTATGGAGTTCACCAGAATTTTATATTAATTTTTTTTGCAATTATGAACAGTAATGAACTTGTTATTATTTTGATCCTCCATTAGTGAACTCCATTTAAGGGTTCTTTAAAATAAAATGTTGGGACTTAAAAGATGGATGTGTAGCACATAACAAGTTTAATATTTCAGGAAGAAGAAGAAGCCAAGATATCACAATGACACAAGAACAACATAAGAGACACAAAGATATGCACATAGATATAAATCGATGTTATATGCAAAAATGATTTATAGATATGAACATGAGCTTACAATAGAGAGCATCTCCTTTCTCACTCTGTTCGTGATAGGCCTTAAGACATTTACTTGCTGGAACGTAAATGTGAAGTTGTTTACAATCAAACTTGGAGTAATGAATATATGATGAGCAATGTGATCGTATAAGCTGCATTTGTGGTGTGAAAATGGGACTGTGTTGTGGGAATCATGGAGTCTTACTTGTTATCTTTTGTTTTGTAGTTGGTGCTGAAACTGAAGATGCTCAGATTGAGCTTTTGTTAAAGGAAGTGAAAGGGAAAGACTTAGCTGAGCTGATTGCTGCTGGAAGGGAGAAGCTGGCTTCAGTGCCATCAGGCGGTGGTGGTGTTGCGATGGCTTCTGCTCCATCCGCTGGTGGTGGAGGTGGCGGTGCTGCTCCTGCGGCTGAGTCCAAGAAAAAAGAGAAGAAAGAAGAGAAGGAAGACCCTGTGAATGTGGACAAGAGACCATAGTCACGACCATTGAATCTGTGGTCAACAAAGCGTTTCTCATTTTCTGTAAAGCACTGACTCAAACATAAAATGGCGAGATATAAGATGTAGCATCGATCATGTGGTTTTTCTACTGGTTGCTGCATCGAGTCAAAGCTTATCTCATTGTTAATCCTCGTTGTGTTCTGATCTCATTGTTAATCCTCGTTGTGTTCTGATCTCATTGTTAATCCTCGTTGTGTTCTGATCTCATTGTTAATCCTCGTTGTGTTCTGATCTTGACAGCAATGAAGAAGACCCCATCTTCTTCTTTACTGAAACAACCATGAAGAAGACGCAATCAATATACATAGCTGAAACATAATCACAACATCAGTGCTCCAAATGAAGTCGATGGAACAAAATTTACCTCTCTGTATCAACTTGAATCTCTTCTGACATAACCTTATTCGCATACCACAGTATCGTCTTCCAAAGTATCGTTTTAGAGTCACCTAATTTGCCTTCCACTGTATCGTCTCTCTTCCTTTTCGGATTTCGTCATTGGGCTCGTCTTCTCATGCACAGGTATCGTTGTTTCTTCGTTTCTCTCTTTTTGACAATCTGGGTCTGTGGCTGGCTGAATCAAGGAGATTGCAAGTTCAAGACGAAATCTGGATTGGAACTCTCTGTTCGCCGACAGAGAATCGTCGCAAAGAGAGAAGAGAAACTAGCGGGGAAGGGGAGAAGAGAAAGTATCTGGGGAAAAAATAAGAAGAAAAAAAAAATCGATCTCTCAAAATTATAAAACTCTTCCCAATCAAAATTTTCCACGTGGTTCGGATACAGGGTCTTCGGAGTCTACCGGATGAACCGATCCTTTAGTATTGGCTTTTTTTCTTTTATTTTTAATCCACAATTCTCATGAACCTGTACCCAAATTTCTAATGACCCTGCTCTAACCCGCAATCCATCCACCGACAGAAACGGGAAGTGTTCGTTGCTCTGTGAAACCAGTCTCATGCGTTGCCCTCCACTCTAAGAGCCACATGGCTCAAGCCTTCACCTAGACCACTTGACTCAGCACCTGGCTTGGATTGGGCGGGTCAGTGTAACCATAAACACGAGCCCTACCTCATAACTTGAACCAACGTTCCACTATCCTTTAAGCCTCCACTCGGATAACAAGCTTACGTTACCAAGCTCGGCGATTAATGCATTGTTCTCTCATCTATATATGCAGCTTTATTGATTTCATTTCTTTCGATGTGGGACTTTATAAGTTTCAAGATCCAAATAATTGGAATTTTAAATTTAAATAGGAATACCGAACAATTAGTTTTCCGAATTACAATATTTTTGCTTTACCTTAAATGGGAACTCACTGTTATTTTGTTTGAAACTACAAAAAAAAGCTAGACATATCTTTCATTATGAGTGAATGAGGTCAATATATATGATGGTAAATGTTTCCATGGTAAAAGATTTTTTCCATTATAAGAGATATTGGTAGAAAGAGATATCTTTTCATTATAAGAGAAACTGGTCAAAGAGAGATGACAAAATATAACCATATCAAACAGAAGAAGTGCTTAATTGTTTTGATTAGTCTTTACATACGTGCAAAGCAATAGAAGCTCATGAAGCAGCCAATAAGGTTCAAATTATTTTAAAGGCCAATTTCTCTAAAGTATAGTCAAAGCAGGTGGTTTAAAACAAGTAGATATTTTCTCGAGGTCATGAGTTTGAGCCTGAGAATGTGATAAAGTAGCCAATTTTTTTCCTCTACTTCTAGCTTAACAAAATTCAGAACCGGCTTTGCATATGTATCAAAAATAATTCATATCGCGATTAAAGTGAATTGATAAAGATTATAAAATCTAAAAAAATCTTATATTATTAATTGATAAAGATACTAAAAAAACTTTTGTCTCATGTATTATTTACATGAGTGTCATACTAAGATTTCAATCTCATAGAATTTCTCTGGAATTTTTTTAAACTAGGTTCAACTTACTAATTAATTACATCATATGTCATTAATATTAATTTGATTAGAGATTAATTTATATCAATTATATATTTAATACTCAAAATTTTAATTTGTAAAAATATTTTCTCTTTTTCTATTTTTTTATCAACATATTTATAAAAATTAATACATAATATAATTACTTATGTTACTAAACATTATTTTTCCTATCTCATATTTCTTTAATCTTAATTTTGTTAAAAAAATAATCATGTTATCTATTTAATAATAAGAACATTTAAATATTTTTATAAATATTATAATTAAAAAAAATTATATCAAAAACAAAATATATTAGTCTCATGTTGGACCAGTTAGATAGAACATATTAATCTAATTTAGTATATCTAATATGCAATTTCATTCATATAAAAATGATATTATAATTAATTATAAAATTAATAATTATCTAACATTTATACAATTATATTAAAAAATAAAGATATAATTAGCATATATATTTACAATTATAAATATCAGCTAAAGTTTTATAATTATATTTTTATATTTACATAAAAGAATTATAATTAATATTTATTTCGCACATGGTACTAAATTGCTAGTGATATGGTCTTTTCCATATAATAATTTGCCTTTTGAGTGTAATATGGGCATGTAATATAATTTGCATGCAATATGCCAATATGGGCCTGAATTGATCTAAGCAAAACTTTTAAGGGCAAATCTCTAAAAATAATTTAACTTAAAAAATAATAATAATAATTAAACTTTTCAAAGGTGAAAAGGTGAATTCAAATAAAGTGGTCGTCTTTGTTGAAACGTGTGTCGGATCTCTATGAGCCAATTAAAGTATATAACAAGCAGAGCAGGAGGTTTTCTACTTGGATCTGCTCTCTCCATTGCATCATCAGCTTCTTCTTCAAATCCGCCGTCTCTAGCCTCCGCGTTGTCTTCATCCTCCGCCGCCGTCATGGAAACCCATAAAACCAAGCTCTGCATCGTCGGAAGTGGCCCAGCGGCACACACGGCGGCGATCTACGCGGCTAGGGCGGAGCTTAAACCTCTTCTCTTCGAAGGATGGATGGCTAACGATATCGCTCCCGGCGGTCAATTAACCACAACCACCGACGTCGAGAACTTCCCTGGATTCCCCGATGGTATCCTCGGCCTTGATATCGTCGAGAAATTCCGGAAGCAATCGGAGCGATTCGGTACTAAGATTTTCACGGAGACGGTCAACAAGGTCGATTTCTCATCGAAGCCGTTTAAGCTTTTCACCGATTCGAGAACCGTCCTCGCCGACGCCGTAATCATTTCCACCGGAGCTGTAGCCAAGCGGCTTAGCTTCACTGGATCTGGTGAAGGCGCTGGAGGTTTCTGGAATCGCGGTATCTCCGCTTGTGCTGTATGCGACGGAGCTGCTCCGATTTTCAGGAACAAGCCTCTGGTGGTTATTGGCGGCGGCGATTCGGCTATGGAGGAGGCGAATTTCCTCACCAAGTACGGATCTAAGGTTTATATTATCCACAGGCGAGACACGTTCAGGGCTTCTAAGATTATGCAGCAGAGAGCGTTTTCAAACCCTAAGATCGAAGTGATTTGGAACTCTTCGGTGGTTGAGGCATACGGAGACGAGAACGGTAAAGGCGTTCTCGGAGGATTGAAGGTGAAGAACGTCGTTACTGGAGATGTGTCTGATTTGAAGGTTTCTGGACTATTCTTCGCCATTGGTCATGAGCCAGCGACGAAATTCCTAGATGGGCAGCTTGAGCTTGATGAAGATGGTTATGTATTGACCAAGCCTGGTACCACAAAGACGAGCGTGGTCGGTGTATTCGCCGCCGGAGATGTTCAAGACAAGAAGTATAGGCAAGCCATCACGGCTGCAGGAACCGGTTTGTTCTCTACTTTTCTTTTCGCCATTTTCTGCACAATGAGTTAGGTGTTTGAAATCATGAGTAGAATCTGTCATACAGAAGCATCTGGTGTGTGCTTGTTATTGGCTTGTTGCCTAATACCACAATGTTTAAGGAGTATTTGGTAGTTTGGTGTTTGGCTTAGTGAACACTGGTTTATCTGTTTAGCATAATTGTTTGTTTGATTGATCTGTTCAAAAGGAGTCGTTTTTTTCCAAAAAAAGTACATAGCTTCTGATGATGAACCCTTTCATGTTCTCAAAGTGCCTTGCGTTGTGTATCATTTCATTTACTTAACAAAGTACTGTTTGAGACATGATTTCGTGTGAATTTTGTTTGGTATAGAGCAATCTTTGTGTTATGCCGTCGTTTTGGGTTAAAGGCTATCTACGTTCATTTTCATGCTAATAGCACAATGTTTTAAGGAGATTTTGGTAGTTATTTTTTTGGCTAAGTGAACAATTGTTTATCTGTTTAGTTGTTTGATTGATCTGTTTAAAAGGAATTGTTTTTTGTTTTAAAGTAGATAGCTTCTTATCATGGAACACTTGCATGTTCTCAAAGTGCCTTGCTTTGTGTATCATTTGATTCACTTAACAAAGTACTGTTTGAGTCATGAGTTCATGGGATTTGTGTTTGGTATAGAGTAATCTTTGTGCTCTTGCCGTTGTTTGGGGTTAAAGGCTATCTACGCTCATTTTCATACTCTTTAGAAGACTTAAGTAGTGGTCATTAATTGTTCTAAGTAGGTGTTTTGCGAGCCTGCAAGTTATATTAAACCGTTTCTATTGTGGTTATAAGATAAGCAGACATAATTAGCAATTAGACGTTTGTGGTGTGTGGTCTTTGAACTCTGCTGATCACTAAACTGAAATCAGATTGTTCTTAGCGGTGATTGTGTGTTTCTGTAAAACCCAATTTGCATACCTTGCAAATGTTATCTCTTTCGTTTCATGAATTAAAAATACACACTTTCATAAGCGACTCTGATCACAATTTATGGATGGTGGCAGGGTGTATGGCCGCTTTGGATGCAGAGCACTACCTACAGGAGATTGGATCTCAGGAGGGTAAGAGTGATTAGAAAAGGTGTAGGAGAAGGACACATTCATAAGTTGCTCTCTCTCTCTCCCTCCCCTTATTTGCTTTGTCATTTTCAGAAATGTCAAACCAATAAAGAATCAGATTGATCTCAAAAAGACAATTTTTTAAATGAAGGGACATTAAGTAGAGTTTTGTTATATGCGTTTGCAGTTGGAGTTGAGTCTGGATTTTGTGCCAAGTTGTAACTCTTTAGGTCACAGCTTCGAGCAATTGCTTTTGATTTGTTCCTCCGGCGAGGGCTTTTATATGTAATTTTATTAAGCTATTTCAGACTTAATTGAACCAATGAATTGGTGTCTTAGAGATGGAGAAAATTATGAAAGTTGTTTATTTTTTCTTCTAAGCATATTAGAAATGTTAGTTACTTAAAAGGCAAAGTGCTTACTCCGTGTCAGGTTTTTATTTTGCTCTTTCCAAATTTCTCAATATCTTCCTTTAAAAAAAATAAAAAAAAAGAATAATTATAACAAATAACTATCCTTACCATAAGTATTTGCAAAAATAACCAAGGACAGAATTGGATACTGTTACTTTTTTGTTAATACACATTAGCCCCTATATATCTAGAAGCATAACTATGACCTATGTAAATAATTTGTCAGATTGTGGACGAATAAAATATTAATATAATATGTGCAATCAATACATCTCACTATTTAAACCAAACATCTTTCCGGTCAAAAGGTGTGTATTTTGCGTCCAACCGAGTCGACGGTTCAGAGAGAGCACCTTTTTTATTTTTGCCGCACAGAGTGTACTACGCATCTGTAAACCAACGGAGAGACAAAACCAAAGATGGAACCATCCTTACTGGAGAGGATTTTTGCAGCTGGCGAAGAACCAATCGGCGAGAGGATAAACTGCTATCACAAATCTAAGGCCATCAACAACATTCTGAGCGCCTTGGACGAAGAGGAGAGAGATTTCCTAAAAAAATCGCCATTTGGGAAACTTATTGCGACAGCGGAGAAGCCTGCACTTTCCGGCAGTTTCAGACATTTTATCATCACGCGGCTGCTAAAGGTTAGCAAAAAATACGAAATATGGATTCTGTTCGCCGGGAAATCGGTTAGGGTTTCTCTTAGGGAATTTGCGATAGTCACCGGTTTGCCGTGTGGAAAATATCCGAGGAAGCAGAAGAAGAAAAAGAGAAACCCCGTCCTGGTGAAACCCTATTGGCCCGATTTGTTTGGAAATCTAAAAGCATGTAGCATCGACCTGGCAGTCAAGATGTTGAAAAAAAGGACTGTCGTCGACCGCGAAATCAGGCTGAAATACGCCTGCCTCGCTATCACCGGAGCAGTCTTATCCCCCACAAACCATAGGTCCAAAATCGTATTCGAACACGTGGAGCTGATCAGAAGTCTGGACGAGTTTTTCGCGCACCCGTGTGGCCGTGTGGGGTTCGAGATGTTGATGTCCAGCACCAAGTCTAAAGACGAAGTTGCACTCGCTCAGAGTACGGTAGCCGTTAAAGTTTTTTTCACGCTATTTTTTTTTAAATAACACCAGTCAATTCCAGCTATGGAATGGAAGTCTCTGCCTGGCTGAGATCGAAATTCCAACCATCAGATGTACAATGCTCACTCAAAATATCAAACTCAATGATCAAATGCTCTTCATAAAATATGACGAACTTGAAGAACAGCGCGACCAAACATTACTCCAAATTCAGAATTACCAGCACATGGCAGCTCGATATTACAATAAGAAAGTATGTGGTTGTTTTTTCGAGGATAGCGATCTTGTTCTTCGAAAGGTTTTTCAGAATATAGAAGAAAGAAACGCCAGTAAATTTGGATGAAACTCCAGTTCTCTATTCGTGAATTCGATAAACCTTAAGAGATACTATTATTAGATTGACCATCCTGATCTAAAAAAAACGCTCCCAAGCTCTTGGCTTTATTTTCCAAGAAATACAAAAAAAAATATACTTTTCCAAGAATTTTTTAATATCATTTCTGGTTATCTCGGAATAAGCTTCAACTTAAGTGGGTGAATTAGTCCTTCTCATCTCCAAAAGTCAGAAAATTCATTGCCTAAAACAAAGCTCCAAAGATCTTGCAAGCTGTCGTATGCTTTGTAGTGCCAAGCGAGGCCAATGCCTAACATCAACTCCTACACAGAGATAACCTATATAAAAATATGTAACAGAAAATACAATAAATAAGAAAAAATTAACACTTACCAGAACAAACATGTTCTCACAGTAAAACGTTTGCTAATAATCAACCATAACGATCACTTCCATAAACTTCAACTTTGAGACTTGTTTTGAACAATTTCACAGATTTTTTCTTTTGCTTCATTCCCATGAGACATTTTCATTTTGGATGCATCAATTCCTCTGTTTTATCCATCACAAAAAGATATTTAGATCAAACACAAAACAATACTAGAAAATCTAATTGAACAATTCTTATAATTATCTTAGTCGAATTCTGAATTCCTGAGGAGAGAACTCTTCTTCTGGTTACTCTTTACAACCACGTGTGTTAAGCCATCTCCATCCGCCACATGTTTTCGATCTACAAGGAGAGTTTGAAATTCAAAATTTATTAGAGAGTTTCACCTAGTAATCATCAAATAAAGTTATCATCATCATATTTCAAAGAAAAAGCAGTTCATGAAACTAAATTACAACATAAGGCAATTTACCATCTAACATAGGAAGCTCTGTTTTTTTTTAAAGATGTTGGTTACTTTCTTAGTTTCTCAACAATTTTCAATTGATTATCGCCTACTAATTATCAACTGAGTCCCCATTATGACATGGGTACAACATTATTACAAACAACTAAAGTACAAACCATATCTTGTATTCACTTGTTTTGATCATATCTTGTGTCAAACCACATCTTGTATTCACTTGTTTTGATCATATCTTGTGTCTTTGGTAATAGCATGTGTTTGAAAAAATATGGTTATCAAAAAGCAAATATGTAGTCAAATGTATTAATATTTTGCATTAACTTATCTCTAAAGTAACTTCCACTAACTAAAGGGATGAGTTACAAAACTGAACTACACATTTGTTTTCTGTCAACACAGAACTACAACATCTTGATGAGAACATACACAATTTATTCTTTAATTTATGAGATTTCTTTTTAAATGAGCAAAATTACATAAACATATACTTTTATTGTGGTTCTAATTAATCTCACAATAAATATAGTCAAATGAAAACCAATTCTTTATCTGAATACAAGTATAACTTACGTTGCACAACATAGTAATTAAGAAGCACTAACATAAGTTTTAAACTCTACGTTAGTTGTATCTTCTCTCTCTCTACCTCTCCCTTCCCTCATGATCACAAGAAGCAAGAGTCAGAGATCTTTGTTATGGTTCCTTGTGCTCCACGGCGGAGCTACCGCTACTGGAGCTCCCTCCAGCGAGAAAACACTCTCTCAGACACCAACTTGGGCCGTCGCCGTCGTCTGCACATTTCTCATCCTTATATCCCATCTCCTCGAAAAGGGTCTTCAAAGACTCGCCAACGTCTGCTTTCTTCTTCTTAATTATTCATTTTCTTGTAAGTGTTGTTGTTCAAATAATCAAGGTCTGAACCATCTTTAATTCGTTTCTCTCAGTGGTTATGGAAGAAGCATAAAAACTCTCTCCTTGAAGCCTTAGAGAAAATCAAAGCTGGTAAGTAATGATTGCTATTGTGTCAAAGCTTGATTTGTTTTTTTCTCAAGCCTTAGAGGAAATGGTGATTGATTATGCAGAGCTGATGACTCTTGGATTCATTTCCTTGTTACTCACCTTTGGAGAAACATACATTCTCAAGATCTGCGTTCCTTCAAAAGCTGCACTCTCTATGTTACCTTGTCCATTTGAAAACGCAAAGACTCTCGCTCCATCTCTTAGCAGACATCTTTTGGCTGCTGGTGATATATATGTGAATTGCAAAATCGGATCCGAGCCACTCATAACTTTGAAAGGCTTGCACCAACTTCACATCTTGTTGTTCTTCTTGGCTATCTTTCATATTCTTTATAGTTTAATCACCATGATGCTTAGCAGACTCAAGGTACAAACAAATCTAGTTTTTGATCAAAATCAGTGTTTAATGGAGTGAAAAAAATGCTTCATTTAGTAATTTTGTAATGGCTTTATGGCAGATCCGTGGATGGAAAAAGTGGGAGCAAGAGACATTATCTCATGATTACGAGTTCTCTATTGGTATCTTGTTAATCAGATTCTGTTTTAAACCCCTGAGGTTTTAGTTTTTTAATGTCTTTAAGACTTAACTTTTTTTTTTTTTTGTGTGTGGTGCAGATCATTCAAGACTTAGGCTCACTCATGAGACTTCTTTTGTGAAATCTTATACAAGTTTCTGGACGACAATTCCTTTCTTCTTTTACGTGGTAAATAAAACATTTTCTTTTCTTCCAATTGCATCAAACGTTCTTGATTTCATTATTTTGAGTCTCAGAAAAGAAAGAATGTTACAGGGATGCTTCTTAAGGCAGTTCTTTGTATCCGTGGGAAGAACCGATTACTTGACTCTACGCCATGGATTCATCTCTGTGAGCCAAAATCATCCATCTCTCTCTTTTCTTCTTTCAAATTCTTTCTTGATGTGTGATTCTTGTAAATTTATTCAGGCTCATTTAGCCCCGGGAAGAAAGTTCAACTTCCAGAGATATATCAAAAGATCTCTAGAGGATGATTTCAAGTTAATAGTTGGAATAAGGTACAACACAACCCAATCTTCAAATACAAATGAAAGTTTTTTGCTTCTTTATCCGGTCTTATAACGTGTTTTGTTTTGCTCTGCAGTCCAATTCTTTGGGCATCATTTGTGATCTTCTTGCTGTTTAATGTTAATGGTAAGCTATATCTATTCCTCTCTCTTTTACTTAAGATTCAATTGATCATTTTGATATACTGAAATGTTTCTGTTCACTTTCTAGGATGGAGAACACTGTTTTGGGCATCAATACCTCCTGTGCTTGTAAGATAATCTCACTCATTTGACTAAACAAATCTTCTTGGAAGTTTTTTATTTTAAGAATATAAGTCTTTTTTTTTTGCAGATAATACTAGCTGTAGGAACAAAGCTTCAAGCGATTATGGCAACAATGGCGCTAGAAATCGCAGAGACACACGCAGTAGTTCAAGGGATGCCTCTAGTGCAAGGTTCAGATCGATACTTTTGGTTCGATTGTCCTCAACTGCTTCTTCATCTTATCCACTTTTCCTTATTTCAGGTAATAATAAAATATGACTTCTTCTGCTTGAATTCATCGTGAAATATCATTTATTTGCAGATTTATGTGTTGTTGTATAATGTTTCTCTTTAATCGTTATTTCATTTCCTCTGTGTTATGCAGA